CTACCTTTTTCTTTTTCTTTTTTTCTTCCTAAAACTCTCAACATGGGAATGAGTTATCACTCTCTCTCTTTCCTCTAGTGATGAATTCTCTTCTCTCTCCCTCTACCAGTCTACCACCCATCACAATGGTATCAATTAGTAAAAATTTAAAAAATGGTACTTCCTTCGTCCCAATTTAAGTATTGTTTTAAGGGAATAATAATTTTTAAAGAAATATGTGGGACATGCATTATTTCTGAAAAGTTACTAAATTGTCCTTTTAAGTTTTGAATATTTAAGTTTAAAATTTAAAATTCAAAGGATATATATGGAAAGATGTGAAATATATTGTTAAAAAAAAAATGAATAATTATTTTGGGACAGATAAAAAACTAATAATAAATAAATAAATATGACACTTATTTTAAAACAGAGGGAGTATCAGTTAGTAATTTAGTAATACATGTTACAACCTTAGTCACTTTTTTCTCCTTTTCTTTTTAATTTATGATAGATATAGTATTATTATTATTATTTTTTGTAGATTTAAAAGTGAGGCATTTATTCAACCTGTTGTTTTAAGATAGATTCATCTCTCACACTTTGTTTGGGTGATGTTATAAGGGCACTTACTTCCTAGTGATGATGTAAGGGATACTGGTCTCCACCAACAAGATTCAACAGTCTTCCAACATGATTTAAAAGTCTTCAATCATCACAAGACAACACTCATGATTTTAGTGAATCAAATGAAAGCAAGAGAATAGAATAAGATTTTATAGAGAAAAACTGAGTTACAAATAAATATTAAATATACAAAGTAAATAATTAATCATAATATTTCATTCACCTAAATTTCCAACATATGGGACACGGTTTTTAAGTTGATAGTTGAAACTCATTTGTGACATGATTTTTTTGGTTGACGTTCACTCCGGAGTTCCCTGACATGGTCTAAAATTGTTGCCAAACAAAGTCTCACAATTATTGATTTTGCTGTGACAGATGCTTTTCATCACTATTGTGCATGTTATTACACTTTATATAAAACAGAGTAACACGATTTGAGAGGTATATTTGTGGTTCCATCCATGCTTATGTTTTCACATCAAAGGACACGCACGCTACTGTGTGTTTTTTTTTTTTTTTTTTTTTTTTTTGCTTTTTTGACTATATTTAAAGTTAGATACCAATCTCATCTCCAATCCCCAATTATTCAAGTCCATCCAATTCATTGCATGTTGATTGCGTTTAGCTCCATGACTCTGCCGTTGTGTGGACCTTTATTTTGTCTCCTTTAATCCTGTGGTTCCTACTGGATTTTCTAAAAATCTATCATGGAACTTAACAGGGAAGAGTGTTTGTTTCTAAGGAAAGTGATGCTCTGAAAATTTTGAATAGCTCTCAACATAGTAATGAAACAGAGTCTGTATAGAGACATATACCCAATTCAATCCATATGTCAATATATCATTTTTGGATACATTGTGTAGAATTCAATTACAAATGGGAAAGGTTCAACAATTTGTACAAAAGTTTTCTGTAAATTTTCTTTCATGGAGCCCATGACAAGTACATCCTTTGAGGATGGTCTTATCGTTTTGTGATTAACATTGTTTTTAAATGTCACATTAAACAAACTATCATAAGAATGTCACAAATTCAAAGATGACCCCATTTGTGAAATTTTTAGAAATGTATGAGAAGCTGCAGTCCCAATAAAGTCCAAGGAATTTTTTGTGCTTTCTCACTGCAACTTTACAACACTAGGATCACGTGACATGCTCTGTACATGATACATATCTAGTTCCTCACACGCACAGTGTTTGTGTTTTGAGCGGAAAAAAAAAAAACAAAAAAAAAAAAGGATGGAATTTGTTCATGTTGTTTTTATGTTATTACGTTTTGGACACGTTTTCGCTTTTATTCTGTGTGACTTAATTTTCACAGCGTTCATACTCTAACTAATGTACACTTTACCTACCCAAAAGTTCAACTAAAGAAACTTTTGACCTAATTCAAGAATTGGGTTCTAATTACTAAGAAATCCGAAATCTAATTCCTATATGCCTTTCCAATTCCGTTAAACAATTGGTAATGCTTTTTTTTTTTTTTTTTGATCTTCTGAGTTGGCTTTGGTCAACCTTGGTAAAGAAAGATGAGAGATACTTTTCCTCCGGCCATTTGTTCTGAACCAGCTCATTCTTTGTTTGAAGTTTGAACCCACACTTTAAAATATATTTATGTATTAATCTGCTAGAACGAAAGATTCAATTTTTTTATTTTATATTTGTTATAAATAAATTTTGTTGGATGTCTCCGGAACTCTTAATTTTCTTTACTGATTTCTTCTTTGTTCTTGCTGTGCATGTTAGACTAACATTTAATAACAGTGTGAACTGGAATCTAGAAGGAACTTTTTTAATCTTATTATAATTAGAATTAAAATTCTAGAGTGGTCTTTTAATAATCCTTGTTATTAAGTAGTAACACGCTTTTCCAAATGATATTGCATTTGTGTCGGCTTTAGTGCTTGACCAGTAATAGTTCTTGTCCTGTGCTTGACCAGTGATAGGATGTAGATTCGAATCCTCTCTTGTTCCTCACTTGTTTTCTGTTTATTATATTTAGTATTAAATCAACATTTCAATTTATAACATATTTTTGTTGCCTAGCAGTTGAGTTGTCCCCTGTTATTTTTTTATAGCTCAGCTTTGAATTCTTTAATACTTTTAATTTTTAATCTAGCATTCTTACTTTGAAAAAATATATATAAAATGAGAGGATTCTTACTAGTAAGCAAAGAAGCGGATTAAAATGTCATATACTTGATGAAATATTAATTTTTACACTATGGATCACGTCCTTTGTTTATTTTATTTGAGAGATTTTAAACATGTGGTTCGTTAACATAATGTCACCCAATGGCTGCATTTTGGTATGTACTTCTAAAAGCATTAGAATAAAATTAAAAAAAAAAAAAAAAAAAATTCAATTTGTGAGAGTTGGTAAGTTGGTAATGAAATTAGAAACCCGGAGGAAATGGGATTTGAGAGTGACTTAAAACTCTCTCACAATATGTTTTGATTGTTAGTTTAAATTTACGGTGCTTTCAACAATTGTAAGGAAACCCTTAACAAAATTTATAATATTAAGCACTTTCTGCTGTCATTAATATTGTTTTAGCACCAAAAAAAAAAAAAAAAATGTTACTCAAACTAAAGAGTTCGAATAGAATTTCTTAAACGAATATTTTTTATTAGTCATTTATGAAAGATATAAGGGAGTGGGGGATCTCACTTCTTTATACTTTGCATATATGATTAATTAAAAATATTCGGTCAAATTTTTTTTTCCAAACCCTCAACTTTAAAAATACTTTTTGAAAAATATTCATCCAGAAGCATTTGAATTTAAAGAAGTCACGGTGACAATTTTACCAACAAAGAAAAAAAAAGAAAACAAAAAAAAAAAGTTGTCATGGTGACATCAAGATTGATTCAGCCATGAAAAAAGGAAAGAAGATGGGAAGCCTTCTAGGGTATTCTAGAATGTGGATATTAATATGATTTGACTTCCAGAGAGAGAGATATATATGAAATAGTAGTAGTGGAATAAAAGTCTGGAGGTCCTTGCCTTTCAGTATGGAGAACTTGTGGTCCAAATAAACAAGGAAAAAAGAGCACTTCTCAATATGTTCATTTATTTTGAATTGGGACATAAATTTGACATATAATGAGGCAATAATGATCATTTTGTTAGATAACAGGCAATAATTATCTCTATCAGACAAACTATCAGAAGTAATAACTATCAACTCCTTTTAAGTCATCGGAAGTCCCAACAACTTAACCACACTTTTTACTGTATTATCTTATCAATTGGGTGCAGGGTACTCATAATATACTACTTTTATCCCAATTGAAAGTTTCTGTATTATTTAATATACTACTGAATTTCTTTTTTTCTTTTATTCTAGCTAATCAGAAATGTGTCATTTCGTTCTCTGTATTGTTTGTACGGTAGGCGACTAAATGTCAACAAAAGAAATGGTATTTAAGTCGATGTGTTAGGGCTAAAACACTAATTGAAATCATATATAATTTTGAATATATTTTAAATGTTTGATCTCATATTTTTCATTTAAAACATATTTTACTAATAAAATTCCTTCTGCTAGGTTACATAGGTCTATGTTATCGACCAGAATATCATTGTTTTAGCACAAATGAAATTACTTACCCTTAAAATGCTTATTAAGAGTTTTTATTAATGTCGAGATACCTTGAGAGTTTTCATTAATGTCAAGGTACCACATATAAATACTCTGAAATTATTGTATACTTTCTCGGCAATAACATGTATGGTTTTTATTAAATATATGAATAAATATTGTAATGTATTATATTGAGATACATGAAGATTTGGGATAAGTTAATGATGATCAAGACATCTATACATGATAACTAAGTAAGTAAGTGGAGGTATAAATGGTAATCGGATAACGGAGATGTAGATGTGTAAAATGGTAATCCGGTAATGGAAATATAGATGTGTAAATTCTAATTTGTAGATAAGAGATATTATAATACTTTTATAATCTCCCAACTAATAAATAAATAAAATACTTTTATAATCTTAACAGATTTGATGTATAGTCTTTGGGAGCTGTTTGTTTCACTGATTTATTGGATTAAAAGATATCTGGACAGGTCCGAAAGCATAGTACTCTTGGCTTCACGGGTTCTCTCTCTCTTTCCCTCTTCCTTCCCAAAATGCCCAGACTAAGTCGGCTAAGTAACTTCCTTGACAGCAGTATAAAACACATTGAGGAAAATGTCAAACCCCTTTAATGCCTTTTTCTTTTTTTCATTCATGTGGTTGCCTTTAGTTACTACTTCTCTTTTCTTTTCTTTTCTTTTCTTTTTCAATTTCTTAATTTTGTAAATATATATATATTTTTTTAACCATCATAAGCTGCTTTATATTAAAGGTCCCTCTCACTCTTCCACATATATTCACACACACACAGGCCAAAGAGTCTTCCTCTATCCTCTATATAAATTAACATCATCACACCCTTCTCTGTATCTTCATTCTCAACCAAGCTTTCATTAAAGCAAAAATGTCCAAATTCTCCACCCTTTTCGTTGTAGTTCTCCTCCTCAGCTTCACACTGTCCTATTCAGCCCGCCCCGAGCCAGTGTTTCACAGTGACACTCTGGTGAACGCCCAACATGTAAGTTAAATTATTATGTCACAAAGTGTTTTAGGTCTCGGAAAATGATTTCCAATGATGGGTTTATGATTTTGATTAATGGGTTGCAAATTTTTTATTTTTTTAAAATTCTCAGGAGATTGAAGCTCAGCAAGTTGAGGTGGTGGATGAGAGCTGTGATGGAGTCGGTGAAGAAGAGTGCTTAACAAGAAGGACCCTTGCTGCTCATACTGACTATATTTATACTCAGAAGCAGAAGCCATAGAATTTTAAAATGTTCATTATTATTTTAGCTGAAGCATACATATATTGTACTTGATAGCTGTAATAAATGTTTGGATTATAACATATATATATATATATATATATATGCTAAGTTTGTGTGTCAATTTATGTACTGGAGTTCCCAGGACTAGTTGTTATGAACATGGTTGCCAGGCTAATATATGGGTTGAAATGAACTATGATGGGCTTTTGTATATCTAGTTCAAAGTTGGAACAACAAAATTATATATGTAGCTCATTTTATATCCTTGTCTTTCTCTTTGCTCCTCTATTTCCTATTATGGGTGTGTGCGTTGAGAGGAGGAGGTGGTGGTGGTGGTGGTGGTTGTAGTGGTGGTGGGATTATTTATTTATTTATTTAGTGTTTAACCCTTTTTAGAGCAATATATCATTGGTCCTCTTAGAATGTTTCAGTTATTATGGTTGACCCCGGGAGAAACTAAAAGTCTATGAATTTAGTATATAAAACAGCTGATTTCTAGTTCATTAATTCTGATTTGTGCTTCTTTTGTGTCGCGTTGACAATAAAAACTAGTGTGTTTTTTTCTTTATTTTTTTTTCTGTAGATTACAAGATCCATCATAGAAGAGAACCAAGTGTGAACATAAAAGCATATAGCCATGTCCTATCTACCAAACCCCAAATAGTAATCAATCCCACCATATAAGAGTTTTGGTACTAATTGAAAATGTGGTGCTCTAATTATTATATATACGACACATTGTATTTCTTACTACACTAGTTCTTAATAATCACAGTCATCCTTGTGTTCCTTTTGGGAGGAAACAAGAAAGAAGGTCAAAACATTTCTTTGCCTCTTCACCATATTTAAGCTGTGTTGAGGATATATATGGAACACTTTCATATTTAAAAAAATAATAATTTAAATTAAAGGCTTTTGAGCTTAAGGGAGAAAATAATACATCCTCTGAGAACATTTACATAACAAGAGTCCATTTTGGATGAGATTTATTTATATTTTACTAAGAAGAAGAAAGAAAAAAAAAAAAATCAATCATGCCACGTTATTGGACAAGACAATTGGAAACAACAATCATAACAGGGCTTTTAGCTTAAACAGAGTCCTCAAACACAACTCAATTTGAGCCAAGTATCACAACACTCACAACTATTTCTACACATCCTGTATATTGTCTTTTTCGTTTCAAGAAACTAAACTTATTATTAGTTATTAGACCAAATTTTACATAATAATAATAATAAATAAATAAAGCCAACAATTTGGAGTTAAAAAATGCTAGTAATTTTACCTTCTGCTATTTCTTTCATTCTCATCAATAAATTGTGTAAAATTGCATATCTACCTAAAATAATGATGAGAGGAGCAAAACTATCCTCTGGAATCTGTGATAATGCATTCAGAATTTATTGATTTAAATTGAGATGGGGAAGTTGAGAAAGCAACACTTACCAGATGATAATATTAATGAAGGTAGTTGACAGTTGAGTGATACTATTAATTTGATTGCAGAAATAGTTGTTAGGCTTGAATGCAAAATTACTTTGCCAATTTCCATCTCTGTGACCAGATCATAGAGCTTATTAACCACTTTTAATTTAATTTTATTTTTCCTAAGAAAATAATCATATCTTATTATTAGTTTTTTCGTAAGCCCATTTCATCAATCTATGGACTACATACATGATATTCTGAATTATTTTTAGTGATGCAGTTCAATGGCATTGCCACATTAGTACTCCATACATCACCACCACCACATCATATGCATCAGCTATATATATCCCATTATCATCACCACTGCCACAACACACGCATCAATGGCGGCCCCTTGGCGACAAATATCACCGTCCAGTCCAAGCTTTGGGGTTACCCTTTGCATAACCATCACGGTACGTTGACAAATCTTAGAAATGGCACTTAATAATGCCTCTTGACAGCACATGTTACACGTATGTGATGGTTCTCTGCCTAGCAATATTGAGAGGTTTTGGTTACCTTCCGCGTAGCTTTCATGGTGCTTTGTCAAAACCCTAGCAATTTATACTCCAACACAGTTTCTCGCTGACCATTTAAAAAGGACTAATCAAATTTCATTTGTATATATATATATATAACACCACTTTTCAACTGACACACACAATGCAATTTTCCTTCTTTTTTTGTTTAAATAAATAAATAAAAGGATGTGTGATGGTGTTCATATATTCATATTGATGAGTCCTTGTCAAGCTCTAAATAAAAGGCTATTTATCTTTTGAAACCTAACAAAACCCAAATATGGTTTCTGGTTAGCATTCACGGTTCACCATGGGCCATTTAATGTTGTTGCGCCCGTAAACCGGATGTTTATATGGTCAATCAAACTCCTTCATGTCCAAGTTGACAACAGTCGATATATTCTAGAAACCAAGTGGAAAAATGCTAATTTATAGTAGCAATGTCCGTACTTATTGACCAAAACCAAACCACACAGAATTTGACTATATATATATATATATATATATATATATATATATCCGTTCGCATCTCCAACTTGGCGGTCCATGCCATATCGTATTTATTAATGTTTAGCAAACCAATGTTTCTTGCCTGCCATTTCTTATATGTGATATAAATATATACAATGTTTCAGTATGACAGCAACTATTTTGTGTAAAGTAATATCAAAAGTTTAAGTTTATCTTCAGTCTTTCATCTTCCAAAGTCCACATTTTGGTAAAAATTATACAAAATTCAATATTTTATTTTCTACTGAGAGTTGTTATTCGCCCTCCATGAATCTCCTTCCGCGCTCCAACTCTACGAAGAAGCTTCCTTGCTGAAGAAAGAAAGAAATGGACAAAAGAAGACTTTGTTGGAGCGTCAATATTGTGTCCCTTTTTAAATTTTCATCATCCTTGCATAAAGATATTTCAGTATTTATATCATATGGGCAAGGTGGTAATCCCTTAATTGTTTATTGATGATTGATGAATGGTTAATGAAACATGTGAACCTAAAATGGTTAATGAAACATGTGAACCTAAAATAATACGAGTAGTGTTCAATAAAATTGCAAAAGCAAGTGTTCAAACTAACCAAAATGAAAAAAAGAGTTGATGACAGGAACATATCTAATAAATAGCGAGCAATTTTGAATGTCAACACAGTACTGCAGTTCAAGAATAGTCTGAAAAGCGTGCATTCGCCAACCGGATCAGAGTCAAATTGCTTTAAAACTGTTGTAACTTTCAAGGGCGTTGGGTGGAGTTTAATTAAAGTCTACTTTTCAAAGGTTTCAATTCATGATTGTTGCTACATTCATTCCTCCTCTGTTTTTCCTACAAGGGCTCAACACATCTACTGGGTGGACAAATGGCTACTCATTGTAATAGTATAATCTCTCTCTAAAGTATACCAACAAAATCAGTTAAATCTCTCGGTAACGCTTTTAAGTAGGAGAAATTATTAGATAGTTTTGGATGATAAATTTAGATTTTAGAATTGAGAAAATGGCCCTGTAAAAATGTATTAATATATTATAAAGAAATCTCAACTTTAACTTTAATTGAATTAGTTCACCAAATATCAAATGGATCATAATCATCTAGACCAAGATGCATTTTCAATCAATTTATGTTTTAATTAAATAGATTTTTTTTTTTTTTTTTTTTTTTTCCTTCCCTTATAGCCCATATATTAACTTTCAATTTTTTTTCTTTCTTTCCTAAAAAAATCATTTCAAAATTTAAGGCTCTCTCTGGTAATCTTTGACTTATTGGACTCTTTTTTCTTCATAATACAAATTTTAGATCCGAATCTACACGATTTTGTTCTTGAGTTTTACATCCAAAAAATCTCATACTATTTGAAAACAACACTAATACATATAAAGCACTTCACTCTATTAAGCAATGTGAGATCGTATACCCATAGTCTATCAGTGTTTTGCATACATCCACAAACTCGCCGCAATCACCCCCTTATGTATAATATTGTTGATTTTATATCCGAATCTACACGATTTTGTTTTGGGGTTTTACCTCCAAAAAGTCTCGTACTATTTTGAAAACAACACTAATACATATAAAAACACTTTCACTCTATTAGGTCGTAAACCTATAATCTGTCGGTGTCTCACATCCATCCACAAACTCTCCACAATTACCCCCCAAGGAATCCAACTAATTTGTCAATCACACTTCTAGGTCAACTCTGGCTCTAATACTATTTGCATATAAGGATGACCCTGTGGGTTGGTGCAAAATACTAAGCAAGTTACAAATGCTTGATTTCACATTACTTGGTAAGGTGAAAGTAAAATGCTTTATACTCCATGTGCTAATGCTATCTCCAAATTTTATGAAGCGTTTTAGAGTAAAATTTAAAAATAAGATAATACGAGTTCAAACTCAAAATGAATAATACGATCATGTAAACTATTACAATTTCACTTTGAGTTGAATTGAAAAAACTCAAAAATCTTTAATAGAATCAAACCGAATCGATTTTTGTTCCATTGGGTTGGATTCTACAATTCTAGCAATCCAATTCGAGTTCTAAAATTACCATTCAAAAAAAAAATTGGAGTTCTAAAATTTTTGAATCCATTGAAGTCGTTTTGGTTTTGGTTCAGCCTAAAATGGGTCCGAACCGGACCGGGTGCACTCCTGAATCAGCAGAAGGTTAGCAACACACGCACGCCACACGGGCGCTTAGGATTCACCTTGCCAAGTTAAAAAAGGATCTAAAAACCCTAAAAGGCTCTCTTTTGAGGGCTTTGAAAATGTTCAGTCGAAGGAGGTTTCTTTCGTTGCCTATGGTGATTGGAGCTGTTGTGTAAGCTTCTCTTCTTTCTCAATATCTATAAACAGACGCATATTATACATATGTGTATATATATCTGTATGTTTATTTATTTGCGGTTTACAAAGTGATGCCATGATCTGAGAATTGCCTCTGAATAATGATTTTTTCTTTAATTTTATTTTCTGAATGCTTCTGCACACAGTACTGGTCTGATTTAGATTTATTTTAAAATTATTATGCGTTGCGGGCAGTGTCGACTGTGAAGGCATATAGAGGAAATTCACACAAGTTCTGTTAATCGCAATTCATGTAAATTAGATATTTAACCCTAGTTAACGCCTCGGAAGTATCGTGCCTGGATTATTTTATGCAATCTTTAAGTTGTTGCCATTTTTGTAGTCGCCTAGTTGCATCTATGAATGTTACTCATTCTTTTTTCCTTCTTTTTTTGAATGAAAGGACCAAAGAACCAGGTACAATGCATGTACACGGTATATGTTGTTGACAAATTATTGTCAAAACATGGTTTAGATGCGTTTTTGCAGGAGAATTACTGCTTAATTCCCTTTTCTCTCTCTGTTACAAAGTAAAGTTTTGGTTTTGGATCCTAGATTGGATTAATTGTCAATGTAAAATGTTTCATAAGCATAAGTTACAACTAATAGTTTGTAGAAAGTTGAGGATATTCGATGGGTCGCCACTGGGGAAGTTGTTTTGGAAATATGAGTGGTGTTTGATTATAGAATGAGATCAGGATGTCCTATGGTAGGCCTTTAGAAGAGCACATCATGACATGGGGGGAGGAGTTATCTAAGCACATTAGTTATGTCGTGGGGAACCGTAAGAGAGTGAGCTTTTGGCATGACTAGTGGTTCAGGGAGGGCCCTTAGAAGCCAAGAGTCCATGCTCATTTTGATTTGTCACATCAAGACTAAGAGATGGACTGGGTCTGGGTGGATGCGTTGTTTATTTTTATGGTATGAATTATTGGTCAAAGAGGGGGAGAGAACTTTCAGAAATGGGAAGCTTCTAGAAGGGGCATATTTGATGTGAAATCCTTCTACAGAAACTTGTTTGGGGGGTAGGGGGTGTGGGGAAGGACCTTCTTCTTGTTGTCATAGAAGGTTCTGTGGCAGACAAAAGTGCCAGATGAGGTTTTTCTGAGTAAACAGTTACTTTTGAAAAGATCATTGTGATTACTTGAAGTTCAAAATAAGTTCATTCGAAATTGGTGTGCCATGTTTTAGGATGTTTAGATTATCTATCACCTGTCACATTATTTGGTGTTAAGGGAGCTTCAATTATTGTCATTGTCCTTCTTTGGGATTGATCAGACTATATCAAGGCCCATGGTTGATGTGTTGAGAGTTGGAGAAGAGATTGTATCAAGAGGAGATTGAGAGAGGTGTGGGAAAGCACTGATTTTGGTAGTGTATTTGGTCGAAGCATAATAAAACACATTCTGAAGGTGGGTAAGCACTGGTTTTGGAGATTAAAAGGACTTCCTTGAGAGATATAGAGGGAGAGGTGGGGGTATAGCTTTCTCAATATGTGTCAAATTAATATGACGCCAGACTAGTTGCCCCAAAAGTTTAACCTATTGAGTAATGGATCAAACAATATACATCAAAACACCCTTCCTGATGTGTGGCTCTATATTGCTCTTGGAGAGACAAACACACAAACAGAATTGAACAGAGTCCAAACTTTCACAGAGAACTGGAGAATAAATGTACACTCAGAGACTGAACCTTAGACCTAAAATCAAGAGTGATACACCATTTCATACAACCGATTGCCTCAAAATCTTAAATTATTAAGGAATAGGCCCAGAATGTATATCAAGCCCTAACACGTGTTGCACCGCCTTTGAAGCCTTCTAATAATGTACTTTTACCTATAAAAAAACTAATAGTATGTGGAAAGTAAATTCTAGTATATATCTTTCCTTCATGACAAATTAAAAGTTACTGTTAGGGAATGTACTTAGTTTTAGAATTGTAGTGTTTCCTTTGAGCCCTAGTCCAAGTAGTGGTTTACATGTTTTTGTTGGTACCCAGCCCCTTTAGTTAGTATAGGGTCATTTTGAGTTGAGGAATTAATAATGGTGACCTCATTTAGGATAATTCTATTTTGTTCAAACGAAAACAACTGGATGCTTATGTAAGGAATCATTTGGATTATGTTAAAGGTCCCATGAGGAAAAGAGAAGGTGAAATAGAAAATGATTTGAGACGGGGAGAAAAAGCATTGTGGCACCAGCATTAATTTGTCTAGTCAACCCAGGTAGTTTGGCTATCCTGAATTGGGTTTGGCAGAAACTTCATCATGTACGAATTGAGGATGAGGACTATATTATTTACCAGGACTTAAAGTTGTTGACTTGCAGATATTTTAACTTCTCAAAGACGAGACCTGCAAGTACTCAAGATTCCTATTTCTTTTCCATAATTCATATTTACAAGTCCATATTCCAATAATAAGAATAAATATTCTATATATTATCTGTCAATTTAACCAGGTTCTCACAAGAATTTCTTAAAAAATTGTATACAAAAAACAGTGGTATATTTTGGGTTTTTATATATCAGAGGGAAGGATGGAAAAAAAGAGAGAAGATAGGAGAGTGAGGGCTTGTCTTTTATAAAAAAATGTTTCATGATAAATAATGCTCAAGTTTGGGATTTCTAAGTCCAACTTCTCCTCCTGGGAAACAAAATGTTCAATGATTTTTATGGCTTTTGTAGGATTGGAGTTGTTTCTGGAAAAGCAATATTTGGACCAGCACTTGATGAATATTGGAAAAAGAAGCTTCAGGAAGAGGCAGCAGCTAAGGAGAATGATGCAAGCTCCACCTAGGTGGCTTTTAAAATGAATTGGTTTATGGTTGAGACAAGAATGTGTTTGTTGAGTTTACTTGGCTTCTTTATGTAGAGATGGGAGCAACAAGTTTAAATTTTTTTTCCACTTCGACAACAACATCAGTTTGTGTATGTTGTTGTCTTACTCTTAAGACAGGAATCAGTCAGAAGGCAATGCATTGGATGCACCTGGGTCTTTAGCTTCATCTGATTTTACATGAGAGAACTCGTGTCAGTTTGTGTGTCAACTGGTGATTGGCCCAAGAGTCGGGATCCGGGACTATGTAATAATTTCTCATACACGTGTCACCAACTTGGATAGTACTTTTAAAGCATTACATGTCCTTTTAAAGAAAATATGATTGTTTGGCAAGGGTATGTTAAAAGAACTATTGTGGAAAGATATAATACTCCTTTATAAGCCTTGAAACTTGTTTTCCCCTCACGCCAATGTGTAGAGTACTACTACCTCTGTCAAAAGGGGAAATTGTGTGAGTCACATTTTTTTCAAAAAAGATATTCTTTTTGAGAATTGCTCGTACACAAAAACCGAAACCGATTTAAACGAAGAATGGTGTCCACGTGTCTTTCGGAGAGACTCGTGTTGGGATTTGAATTCTCACTTTACAATATAATGAAAATAAAAATACAATTACAAAAAAAGTCAAATACAATATTCATATTTGATTTATATTGAAATAATAGAAATGTTAATACTAATTAGGGTTAAATGCAAAAAATCTCCTTAAATTATAGGGGTTTTGCAACTAACCCCCTGAACTACAAGAAACCTCCTTAAACTATAAATTTGTTGCAATTTGCCCACTCAAGCCACCAGAAAGTAAGAGGACGAAATTGCCTTTTCAATAAAACGACGCAGTTTGTTAAAATTAACCTTCATCCACTATTGACCTGAGCCTAAAGAAGGCGGCGCACGGCTGCGGAGCGACGGGAATATGTTTGTTGTGTGTATATAGATATAGATATATAGATGTGTATATATGTACCGCCGTGAGGAACTCGACAGACATCACTTTTTTCGACCATGATGGCGGCCAAGTAACCGTCTTAGAAGGTCTCGACGTCCATGTCGGCCTTGTCAGACTCGATGACGACTATACTTTCGCCCTTGGAGAGCTTGTTACCCTCTCACTTGACCCACGACACAATCTTGCCCTCGGTCATGGTGGAGCTCAGCGCCGGCATGAAAATCTCTCTGATCTGAAAATCTCTCTGATCCGAATTGGTGATTGGGTGGTTAAATTGGTTGGGTTGAGTGTGGGGGTTGTGATTAGGTGATTGATTTTGGGTTTGTGGTCGCCGGCATAGATGGATTTGCAACAGCAGTCGTGTCGAACCTCATCGGAGAAAGACGCCAACTGACTGTCGAGATAAATTGAACCACCAAACCTTCAAATCTGACCTTTCATCACCCACTTTCACGCCGCTTGGGTTTGAATCAACACTTGGTATGGGTGGTGCCAGAGATTGCAACATCACTACAACCACCGGTCTTGATTTGCAGGTGGCGGCCATGGGTTTACCAAATCGTCATCAATAAATAGATCTGCAGCAATGGCGGCGACGACATAATTTCATGCCTCTAACACACGCCGTTAACTGCAAATACGCACGCTGCGACAATCGTCTTCTTCCTTATATGGCCAATTTTTTCCTCCACATCTCTCCATCAAAACCCCTAATTTTTCAACCCACGAAGGCCAAGGATGATTCTTGACTTCCATTCCCACTAAGATCATGTAATACCCCGATATTTTAAAAGATATATTAATTAGGATTAATTCTTTTTATTTGATTTTTAAATGATTTGGTTGATTTAGTTTGAATTAATTATTTTTATTTTTAAATGATTTGTTGGATTAATTACTTTTATTTGATTTTTTAAATGATTTGTTTGGTTTAATTGAGTGTTATGGTTAATGGTCTTATTTGTATTAAATTATGTTTCGTGATTATATTTGCTAAATTGGTGTGTTGGTTTGCTTTGTGAGAATGTCATAATTGTGTTTTTTTAAGTTGCTTATTTGACTACGTGTGATTTTTATACTAGTGTGATTTTATTGTGAATTAATTATAATTATTAGACTTAATTGGATTATTTTTATTTATTTAAGTTAATGGGTTTGGACGTAAGGGAAATTGGACCAAAGGATATGGTCTTGGGCTTGAATGAAACTTTATTGAGTTAATTAATAAAGCCCATGGTTTTGTGATTATTTAAATAATCATTTTTGTATAATTATAACTATATATTTAATTATATATAAATATAATTAATTAATTAGTATTATAGAATGATATATATATGATATATGATTTAATTAACCAATAGTTAATTATGGAAGATATATATATATATAGGTAATGTAATATATGTTTATATATATTATATTATTTAAAAGATAATTATTTTTTTTTTTATTTGGTAATCCTAGTAGGAATAGGATTAGGGTAGTTAATGTGTATAAATATAGACATGAGGTTTTATTATTAAAAAAATTTCACGTTAGAAAAATAAGAGAGATAGAGAGAAAAGAAGAAGGGAAAGCTGACAAGGTGTAGGCCGGATCTGAGAAAGAAGATACCGGAATTTGAAAAGACAATTAAAGCTTGAAACGTCGGTTTCGTTAAGGCGAGTTTTTCTCTATCTTTCCTCTTAGAACTCATAAATATTTCACCTTGAGTACCAAGGCTTTAAATTAAATTTATTTGATTAAATCTTGGGTAGATCAAATTATTTAAAAGTATAAATTATTATATTGTATTCTCTTGGAATTTTAAAATTTAATTGGTATATATGTGTGTTGCATATATTTTTAAAAATAAATTTAGAGGCTTGATCTGGACTCAAGAGGGTTAGATACGGATTATGAGGTTTTATAGTTTTTTTTATAATTTTCAGGGATTTTTTTATATGAAATTATTGTATTTTTTTTTTTAGTTGTTTTATTAAATTTTTGGGTAAAAATATAAACTACTAAATTGTTAGTGGCCCTGTTGATCGGCGCATCACAAGGGATTTGGATTCGGTGTGAGCGTGTGTATAGAAAGTGGGTGCACACACTAGTCTTGACCATTAAATTAATTAAAGGTAAATGGATTTATCTGGTTCATCGTGGCACATTAAAGGTTGGTGCGTATGTTAATCTAGGCCATACAAGTGGTTTGGTACATTGTGGATTGATCTAGTGTAGCGCAATCCATGGAGAGTGGTGCTCACTCAGATCTGAACCATTAATTGTGACTTGATGGAGGAAAATAATCCAGTGTGGTTGCACTTAAACAGCAACCGAGAGCTCATCCAGTCACAAGAAGACACATCAGCCAGAGAGGGGGTTATCAGGCGCGTGTGCAGCGCGTGGGAGCGCGTGACGCCACGTGGCTGCTTCTGGTGGCGCGTGGAGCGCGTGCAAAAAGTGTGGGAGCATTTGGCGGCGCGTAGGGGCGCGTGAGGAAGTGTTTGGGGTTCCGGTAAGGTTCTGTAGTGTCCAGTGATTTTTCAGAATTTATTTTAAGCTTGTTAGGGTTGAAGGCAACCACTAAAGGATGTGCTAATGGTGTTTTGAGAGCCATACAATATCATTACGATATTTAATGGGTTTAAGCTCTATTTAAATAATAACTGGGGATGGAAGGAAGTGTAGATATATATATATATATATATATATATATATATATATATATATATATATAATTTTAATAATCAATGATTATTAAGGAAGGTGTTACACACACACACACACATACACACACACACATATATATATATATTAAATAATATATATATATGTATATATCATTTAAGATAATTAATGTTATTGTTCTTATTTGCTATATTATGTTTTCCTACAAGTATGATTGATTAAATTATAATAGATTGGTTATTAAATTTATGTTATGCATATAATATGCATGAGATGGCTATGTATGAATTAACTTATTGTTAACTTAAAGTTGATACATAGTTGAGTTGCAGGCATGGATGAGTTGTCATAGGCGTAAATATATTGCCTTTGTATGAATAAAATACATACATTGGAAGCATGGATGAGTTGCTACTTTATTAGTATAAGTATATATACTTGTAGAGGAATGGTTAAATTGCCAATGTATAAATAAATATACTTGTGAAGGCATGGTTGAATTGCTAATATATAAATAAATATATTTATAATGGCATGGTTGAATTACCAAAGTGTAATTATACTATTATGTGTTAGATTATTAAAATATATCATCTATGGTTATTGTATGGATAAGTTGGATTAGGATTAGATATTCTTAAATTAGAATAGTCTAGTACTTACAGGTTAGTGTATATTTTTATATATATTAATAAAATAATACAGATGGTGACATGGATGATTTGTCAAAGCTAAGATAGTGGCTGTGTGATTTAAAAACTTAAACATCAGTATTGGTTTTAGAATCTAATATAATATTCTTTTAATTATATTTTATTATTTAAATTATTAAATTGTTGTCTACGATGGAATTAAGGTTAGAGGGGTTTTCTTTAAAAGGAAATTGTAGATTAGACTAGGTATGATTATTATTTAATCATTCATAATGGTTTTGAAATTAATGTGCCTAGTTATAGATGTTGTTGATATATTATATATAATCAATTATATATATGTATATAATTGTATATTAAAGATAAAAGACTTTATTAGGTTTGGTTTTGATCAGAGATGATCTACTTATTGGTTTTCAGAGGCCTGGTAGAGTGAACTTGCTCGTAAGGTTTAACTCACAATTTATTTTTCAAGTTATTAGAAGTTCAAGTCTCAAGGTTGAGGATCCGCAGGTGGAGGACTTATCTATTCTTTGTATTTTATTTTAAAGTAGGATATTATTACCTCCGTAAGTATTAATGGTTTAATGGATAGTGGATTTTGGTTAAGGGGTCCTTGAGTTAAGTGATTCCCGAGTTGTAACCATTGGCGAGTTATTAATGAAAATTTTATTTATTAGTTCTTCTTCAGCGTATTATTTATTCTATTATTTCATTTTGTACTCTGTGCTTGTTTGAAATACTTTAATTGTTTTGATATCCCTTGATTTTGTGCGTGGACTTGATCAACCCGTGTTTCGAAATCAGGGGGTATCACAGATCAGAGTACGATCCCATCTTTTTCCATCAATGGTCGAGTTCACCGCCTCATTTCTTCCTTACTGCCAAGCCCATCTTCATCCTTGCCGAGCCGAGCACAGCCTTACACCTTTGCGGGCTCGTCACCGCCTTACCTGCCGGTGTAGCGCCACAAGCACACCGAGTCTCCCTCTAGCTCGCCGGCCGTCGTGCAATCTAGCCGAAGCTGTATGAGTTGGCGTGATAAGTGTTTGCGG